GGCGCCTGGGGCTTTGGTGTGGCAAAGCCGGGCGGGCGCGGGACTCCGCGGTCGCTGTGGCTTTGCTCCCGGTGCCCCTGGTCTGCTGGAGATGGTCCCCAGCAGACCAGGGGCACCGGGAGCAGCTTTTCTCACCCCGGAGGTCGAGGTGGCGGACCGCTGCCTGCGAGCTCCGGGGCGAGAGAGCCCCGTTCATAAGTGCAGATCCGACATAAGTTGGATCCGCGTAAGTCGGGGACTGCCTGTACTTACTACGACTCCTTTGCTCCCGGTGCCCCTGGTCTGCTGGAGATGGTCCCCAGCAGACCAGGGGCACCGGGAGCAGCTTTTCTCACCCCGGAGGTCGAGGTGGCGGACCGCTGCCTGCGAGCTCCGGGGCGAGAGAGCCCCGTTCATAAGTGCAGATCCGACATAAGTTGGATCCGCGTAAGTCGGGGACTGCCTGTACTTACTACGACTCCTATAACCCTCATTTTATGAGGAGTAAGGAAAGTTGGAGGAAGAGTGGTCTTCTGCAGACTTCCTGCTGTATAGACAGTACCAAAAGCTGAAATAAGCTATTTCAACTTCAGCTACAAAATTGATGTGGCTTAAGTTGTGTAGCTTATTTCGGCTTTAGCCCTGCTGTGTAGATGACGTGCCCTGAGTGAAGCAAAGTGCTACTGGTAATAGTCTGATCCAAAACCTAGTGGAGTTAATAAAAGACAGATCTCATTGACTTCAGTGGGCTTTGGATCTTGCCCATAGCAAATTTGATTGTTGATCAAATACTGAAATCTTAAAAAAAAAAAAAAAAAAAAAAAACCACCAAATCCTCTCTACATGCTTACTAAGCTTTCCTAATTTTACTTGATTGCCTTTTGTAGATAAGAAAACCCTAGCTGAAGTTCTGGAGGACTTCCATCCAATTCGCTGAAAACTGCTCAAGATCAATGGACTTGTTCAGCAGATCGTGTTTCGTGAGACCACTCCCAAAGATATTTGAGCAGACTGTATGTCAGTTATTGTTCAAATGCAACTGGCTGAAAAACAAACAAAAATCCTTACTGTGTTCTTATAATTAAAACTATGAATAATCAGTGTGTTTAATTTGTTAATATCCATTCCTGTATTTTGTAGTGCATTTAGCTCTTTACATGTAAATTTTAAAAGGTGAGCTGCCTTTTTTGTTAACTAATGTGCAATTAGAATGACTGTACCTGAGAAAGGGATGCAGGTTCAGTTACTAGTCTGATGTGGAGAAAAATACAGGTCCCCTTCTTCCTGAGAGCAAAATTTAATCTCTGCCTTCTGTTATCGCACTTGAGTCTCGGTCACATTTTGGCCTTGCCCAGTTGGCGCTCATTACAGGATTGGGACTAAAGTTAGCCTTGTTAAGAAGGTTTTCCATACTGGCCAGGCTAAGAAAACACGCAGTATTGACAAGCCATCCATACTTGATCCCCTTTAGGATCTCTATTTTCCACTTGCTTTCTCTACCTTTATTTCTTAGATCTGTATTTTTCCAGCTTTGGTGCCTAAAGTTAGGTCCCCAACTCCATATATAGGCACCACAGGGCTGGGTGCATGGGGGTTGTTTCCCCCAACCTTCCCCCTCCCCGAGCTGCTAAGCATCCACAATTCCTCAATTTCAGTGGGAGTTGCAGTGCAAGATCAGGCCACTTATTTAAATATCTAACTATAGATGTGTCTAAAACTAGATACTGAAACAAAGTTGTTGACCTATGGGGTGATGTGATCCAGACTCACTACTGATTACTGAGTTGATATCCGAGATGAATGTCTGAAAAATTAGCTAAAGTTTAACTTATGAATAAGCTTTTTAACGTTTGCACATATTGTGCCCTCATTCCCTGGTTGGCGCATATCATAGTTTATCAACCTTGGGCCATGCTTTTAGCGCATGAAGACCCACGTTTGGCACAGAATTTGTTGCGCCTATTCTAGTCCCTCTTAATGCTGCTTCAGTGCAAGAAATACACCAAGACTATCCCTGATGTCTGTTTATCTAATCTGTTCTCTAAAATCTCCATTGATGGGGATTTCAGCCTCCCTATGTAACCTGTTCTGGTGCTTTACTATCCTTATTGTTAGAATAAGTATCTTAATACAGTATCTAACCTAAGTCTCCCTGGCTGCAAATTAAGCTGTCCTTTGTACGTGGAAAGCAATAGGTTGTTGTCCTTTTCATAACAGCTGTCTTATGTGTTTGAAGGCTGTTATCAGGTCCCTTCTCAGTCTGCACTTCTCTAAGCATTCCAAATTCTTTCAGCCTTTCCTAAAGATCATGTTTTTCTAATTATTTTATTTTTATTGCTCTTCTCTGGACCTTACCAGTGCTGAGTAGAATGGGACAGTTACCTCCCAAATCTTCATGTTAATACAACTCAGAATGACATTTGCCTTTTTCTCAGCAGCATCACACTGTTGGTTCACATTCAGTTTGTGATTCTTATAATCCCCAGACTATTTTCAGTAGAACTGCTGAAAAGCCGGTTAATCCCCATTTGGAACTTAGAAAGGAGAAATCAACTACACAAGGGTAGAACTTTGCTCTTGTCTTTATTTAATTTCCACTTACTCATTTCAGACCAGTTCTCCAATTTATCAAGATCACTTTGAATTCTAATCCTCTCTTTCAAAGCACAAGTAGCCCACCTCAGCATGATGTTATTTGCAGATTTTATAAGTACATTGTCCATATCATCAGTCACATAGTTAATGACAATACTGAATAGTGCTTGGTCAAGGACAGACCTGGATGTGAACACCACTCGATACATTAGTTAGCAGGTAGCTAATCTCTCAAATTGGTTTCTGGGGATGTGCTGTTAACAAATTGTATTTGGTCTAGATTGCTCTAATGCTACTGAATCCCAAAATGCAACAATCTTATCTAAGAAACTGCATTCAGAGACACCCATATGCAAAATATGCAGCTGCTTAGGGCACCTAAAGATTTGGGTCACCGCTTTCCTGCCAGATTATCAATTTACAATCTATCCTGGAAAATGACCCCTCACTCTCTCAAGCCTGGGGGGGCAAACCCATCCTTGCTGACAGACAACCCCCTAACCTCAAATACTCTTTCCAGTAACCAGCACACCTCCATCATACTCATCCAGGAACCCACCCCTGCAATCAACCCCACTACCAACTCTGTTTGCACATCTATATAGGCGATACCATCCCACCACATCAGAGGCTTATACAACTGCACATCCACTAATGTGATCTATGCTATCAAGTGCCAGTAATGCCCCTCTGCCATGCTGAACAGTCTCTACAAGAAAACATTAATGGAGACAAATGAGATATCTGAAAAGGCAACACAAAAACCTGTTGGGGAACATTTTAACTTGCCTGGGCCCTCACTAATGGACCTCAAAGTCACTGTATTATTTCAAAAGCTAGCTTGATAGGGAAACTACAGAACTTAATTTAATTTACAAGTTTGATTCCTACAACAGAAGTCTAAACAAAGATGTTGGCTAGATGGCCTGCTACATTTCACATCCTAATGACTAAAAACCCAAACAAGGGGTTTTTAAAGTGGGTACTAAGTATTTTTATCAGCTTTGTTTAGCATAGACACTAATTGACCATTTCCTTCCCCTTTTTATCTTCTTTTTCCTCCTCTTCCCCCCTCCTCCCTGTGCTATTTATTTGCAAACTGGACCAACCCCTTAAACGCCATTCATCTGAAGAAGTGGGTTGTGCCCACAAAAGCTCATGATACCATCTACATTTTTTGTTAGTCTCTAAGGTGCTGCAAGACTACTAGTCTGTAACTGGAAAATCTTAAAAAAAACAACAAACACGGCTATCCCTGAAACTGGATCTTAATGTCCATCCACCTGCCTCTTTCTATCCCAGTTCAGTGGCTTTGTTTCTTCCAGAAAGGATCTAGTTATCTTAAAAGTGAAAAAGCTTGCTGGAACTATTAATGGAACATCAAACCTTTAAAAGAGCCATTCAACTGGCATTTGCCATCCCCAGGTGTATAATGTCAGTTTCTGAATTTACTGTGTTAGTCAACAGGACCTTAGTTTAAAATTTGTTTTAAAATATTTCATTAGTGTGTTGCTGAGAATTATAAAATTATATCTCTGAAAAAAAATCATTCCTCTCCACCCCTTCTCCCTGGGCTGCCATCAGGCACAGAGGCACCAGTGTAATAGTATTGTGTAAGGCCCCATAATTCCTAAGGATAGCCCTGCCTTGCATTTGCTTACTGCAATGTCTGAAGTTAATCTTCAGAGTACTTCCCTCCTACAGGAGGCATTGCAATCTGATCTCTGTTTAGTTAGCTTGCCCTCTGCTTTTGTTATTTAAGGCTCCAGTGAGGTTTGTCAATAACCATGCTAGAGATTTGATTAACCTTCTTTAAGCAGGTTGCCTCAGCACTGTTTTTGCTTAAAAAGAGTCTTGAATACATCAAATTTACCTTCTAAACATTTGGGGGGGAAGGGAATTATAAATACCAATTGGACCTCTCTGGTCTGGCACCTTTGGGACCTGACTAGTCCTTGATGAGGGATTTTGCCAAGCAAGGGTTGGTCATTTCTGGACACCCTGTCACCAGCCCCCTCCAGTCCTGGCCTGACTGCTGCCCTCCAAGCTGGCTTTCCCCTCTTGCTGGCCCCACTGCCCTACCGGGCAGCCCCACCATCTCTTCACACTGAGCTCCTGCTGCAGCACCCAGCAGCCCCACTGCCTTCACAAACTGGGCTTGCATGCCTGCTTCTCCCTGCAGAGCCTGGCTCCTGATGCTGCTCCAGGCAGCCCTGCAGCCTCTGTGCTGGGCTCCTGCTGCTGCGTATGGGGTTCCAGCTGCCCTGCTAGCTTGCAGAACTCCCAGGCACTACCCTTCCTCTGGGACTCTCTGGTCCTGGAATATCTGTGGTCCTGCTGGACCACAGATGTTACTGGACCAGAGGAGGGTCAACCTGTACACAGGAGGAGGAGGAATGTGGGGTAGTATATAAGTAGCTCCAACCTTACGGGAGTTCAGAGCCCTTTTCTAACACGGCTACATCTCTGTTACTTTTCTTTCATGTTATCTACAAAAGTTGTGCCTCTGCCCAAGCAGTGAACAAATAACATTCCCAGAGCTGGATAGAGATCAGTTATGATGCACAAGCTGAAAGCCTGGGTATATGGTGCAACATACACTAATTTCAGAGTTTATTGAAGCAAACCAAAGGACAAGTAACACATGGTGAAATCTGCAAGAGGGACATTGGCTGTGTTTAAAACATGGCAGGCAAAGGGAGGGTGGCTTACATTTTTGTTAAACGACTGGAGCTCATTATTTCCCTTCTTTGATTTGTGTTGTGCAAGTAACCAGCTAAAGCTGTTAGTGAATGTGCTACACCCAGGAGACTGGACAAATATTTTCTAGGGGAGCTACCGATAACAATTATCTTAATCAATTAGCACTGTGCTTTCTGCTGGAAGCAGTCATCGCCTACCTTCCCAAGACTTGAAGTATGTCACCATCTGTTCATTCCCAGACAACCCTGGCTTTGCTGGTGTAGGGAGAGAAAAGCCCCCATAAATAAATTCTAAGTACCCTTAAAGTCATGACTAACCATCATGTTATTTGTTTCTCTCCCTCTTTTTCTCTCAAAGGAGAAATTGCGTGGGTTAATGTGTTATGTCCCCTGTGCTTTGTGGGTGTAAGAGAAGCAGATCGAAGAGATGCACCTTTGTACATGGAGTGGAAAGTGGTGAGGGACATGAAAAGTTTTTAGGTTCTGGGGTAGTTCAATCCACAGCTTTGGACTAGCCCTTGAGAAAACCATACCTCTTTCACAGACAACCTTTATGCTTGAGGTTGAGAATTACATGTGCCTGGGGACTGGAGCTATTTACTTAGTTCCTTGTCTTTGAGGTCTCCATGATCTTTCAGATATTCTGGGTCTGAACCACTGAACCAAGATAAGGACCAAAGGCTGATATTATATTCAAGGGGCTGTAAGCAGAAGATAGGTTTGATATTGATCAAGAATTGGCTCTATGAGGCCAGATTTTAAGAAACCAAATCAACTTAAAATGCTAATTTCAGTTCGTGACGTTTTATTACCAGGTAGCGAGTGGAAGCAGCCCACTGTTTAAAAAAAGTATACTTACAAGTAAGAAAAGAGGTTTATCCTATCTTAAGTGATTTTCAAACTGCACACAGCAGTAGCAGAATACATTGACTCCTGCCCTGATAGTTGACAATTGTCATGCAAATGAGGTGTTTGAGATAGACAATGAGTTCATATCACAGCAAGGAACGATCACATTTATTCTGGTTATTACAACATGTTGGCTATTAGATGGCTAGCATCTTTGGTGTCAATCAAGTAATTCACCAGTAGTATTTGCCTCTGGACGTCAACTGTGTGCAGCATGGAGGTGGTCATTTGTCCTGTGGGATAATAACAAAATAGTTATTTTAGCATGTTCTCTTATGTATGTGTGTTTGAGAAAGTACTGATTTGGATATTGCATTTATTGTCATTCAGAATAGTCAACCCAGGAGGGCATTTATACATTATGGCTATGTCTACGCTGTAGCCTTCTTCCAGAAAAGCAAATGAAGCATGGAGTGGAATATTGCCACGCTTCTTTTGCATAATTAATTAGCAGCTGTTTTTGCGCAAAAATCCCCTCTTGTGCAAGAGTCGTTATTCCTGAAAAAATGAAGAACAGCTCTTGCGCAAGAGGGAGTTTTTGTGCATAAAGGAGTCTACACAGCTCCTTTTTGCACAAAAATAGCTGCTAATTAATTATGCAAATGAAGCATGCAATATTTCACTTCATGCTTCATTTGCATAAGCTTCTCCGGAAGGCGGCTACAGTATATATATAGCCTGAATGCTTGACTCATATCTAACTTTTTACATTACAAAGTCCTGTTTTTCTTAAGTCTTAGTCACCTACTCACACCCATTCATCCTCCATTTGTTACAAGAAGTAGATGAGATGAGATTTGCTCCTTGGAGTATAGGTCTGTTCCTGTTAACTACATTGTGAGAGTTCCTAGAGGCCTGAATCAAAATCTCTTTGTGCTGATGCTGTACATGTGCATGCACACACATGCACAAAATGCAGTCCCAGCCTCCAAGAACTTGTCATTGCAGGAAATCAATTTCAAACTGTTACAGTGCTTGTATTTTTCTGTTAGAAAAGTAATATAGAGCAGCTTTCACCCCAGAACAATCTGCAAACTACAGTACTGATAGAAGCACTGTACAATAGCCAGTAGGGCAGTGTTTCTTAAACTTTTTGAGACCATGGAATACCAAACAATAATATTTTTATATGCAGAAAACCTATGAAAATTTTCTTCAAAAAAAATTGTCAGACAAAAAAAAAAAAAAGACAAAAACAAAGAAGAGGTTGCATCACACCTGCGAGTTGTTCATGGAACACCAGTGTTCCGTGGAACATAGTTTAAGAAATACTGCACTAGGGGCTCTGATGTAAAACACGTCCAAACGTCCTCAGCCAAAACACTAGTACCACAATGTTTTATGTTCTCTTGTGCTTGTGCACAGCAACAGAGAGAACCTTAGTTACTAAGGCCTCATCTGAAAGTTGGTGGACAATGTGAAGTGTCTGCCTTCAAACAAATAATCAAATTAATTTTTTTAATTATCTTTAAGAGGCAAATGAGAGATCCCCATTTGGTAAAATGGATACAGCACAATTTTTCTATGTCGAAAGAAAGAGATTAATTCCCTCTGCTAGGATTTGAACCTGGAGATTCTGCTGTTTCTAGGTGCTGAAACACTATTATCAGTTAAACCAGACTGTTAATCACTTAGATTTTGGATAAAGCATGTGGACACTAAAACTTCAACAAAGATGTAACAGCTGAGGTCTCACCTTTTGAAGTTATTGGCGGATGTTTCACCCGGTAAGCGTAATTTCACTCTGGTTAATTTGTCCTATAATTTCATTGTATTTTCTGGTCAGGGCATTGGCTTTTCTGGTCAGGTGGCTCAGGACACGATACAAGCCTGTAAAGTGATAATAAAGCAGTTGTTCAAGATCAGCCTCCTCTCCGTTTTCTTGTGCTTCCTCTCTGCTGGTGATGATCTGGTGTTTGCTTTCGTTTAGAGGCACTAATCGACCCTCCATCGCAAGTTTGATGGATTTCAGCTGGAGGTAATATTCATACAGGTCCCTGTTGCCAAAATCATCAGTAGCTACATCATTCTGCTGTTCCATGTAGACACCTCTGAGGAGGCTGGGAAACATAACCACATGTTCCATCTTGCGGATGGCAGAAAAGTACTCTTCCATGGCTTTTGTCAGACGGCTCTGAGATTTCCTGGCTTCTGCAGGGCTTAACAGGGATGCTGGCTGTTGCCTGATGGTGCTGAAGCCTTTCAGGCTGCTTGGATGTTATGATGAAGGGGAAATCAGCAAAGCAGGCAAATGGTTTTTAACAGTGGAGAGAAGGGGTGTGTATACCAGCTAAAGATACTCCTCTCTTTCCAGCTAATCAGAACACAGAGCCTCTGCATGTCTCAAAATCTGCTTAGTAATCTGTCGGGGTCAGCATGAAGTCTGTATTTACCCACTGGACTTCACCCAAAATGATCTTTAACTAATTTGAGAACTTGACCCTCAGGCGGGATTTTCAGGTCATGTTATCTTTCAATGACCAGATAAGAAAATGGCCATGAAGATACCTGCTGATTGGAGCAGAGCTTTCCCAACTCCCCCACCCCCAAACTGGAAAAGCTGGTGTCTGAAAAGTTGATGCAAGACAAGGCATGAAGGCTGCAGAAAATATTGCTTTCCTTTTTTGTCCTAATTCGTGACATTTGAACATAACTCTGCCATTGCTGCCAAGGTGAGTCACCTTGAAACGCATATATATCTAGAATGTGAGACTCAACAAGCCTGCAGCTCACAAGTGATCTGCAAAACAGATCCATCTTCTTAAGCTAAGGCTGAGAGAGAGTTGAAAGTTTGTCAAGAGGGGAAAGAAAAGGAAAAAAAAGAAAGGGACAATGAGATGATGGAATAATATAATACCTAGTCAAGATCTATATTAGCAGGTGTTCCAGTCATGCCTGGACTTCACAGTGTTAGAAGAAACATGGGCAAACTATATTTCCATCTTGAACTGATTCTCACTTTTTTTAAGGGGATATTACAGTAGTGTGGTGAAGGTCTTGTTGAGATTTGGGCCTTGCGGTGCTAGTCCCTGTACAAATATAGGCTCTAAGACAATCCCTTCCTCAAAGAGCTTACAGTCTAAATAGAGCAGGCAGAGGAGAACAGAGGGACAAAGAGGTGGACTAACATGCCTTGTGTCCGAACCAGGAATAGAATTCATGGACCATGCAGTGCCTTCACCATTCGTTTTTGATGCCACCTCATAAACTCTCCAAGTGATCTTTAAGAGGCAAGGCCAGAACTCTGCCACAGTATTCTTGATTCAGTGCTTCCTTGGGTAGGTCACTGAATTTCTTTGTCTTGATTTTTCCCCATCTGTGAAATGGGAGTAAGAATACTTCACAGAAGTGTTACATGGCTTTCTACAGTTCCCTGTATTTGAAGGGCATCCTTTTTTTTTAATGGACAACCTCTTCTTTATGTAGAGTGTTCCAGTGTCCTGTTTTTCACCTGAGTCATTAATAAATCCCTTTTCTTTGTGCTGTTAAGAGTGGGCTACTAAATTTAATCCTAAAGTAGGAAAGAATTTACAGCTGAGCATGAACTGTGTGCCTGGCTTGATCTCACTGACAGAATAACAAAACCACAGCAAGAATGACTCCAGCAAGTCCCCAAAATATCTTTTGGAAGGATCCTTTCTGGTCTTTTTTTATTACATCTGTTCTTTTGAGTTTCTCAGTTATTCAAAGGCACGGTGCTCTTCTCAAAGTAATATTGCCTGCAATTTCCTAGCACAGGCATTCTTCAGGGAGCCAAAACCTGGTATAAATCAACATAATACCATCCATTTCCATTAGCTGAAAGTCTGAGCCCGTATCTTTAAATAAAGTAGCTTGCTGATTAGCAGCACTCATTGTTTTTTAAATGTGCCAGTTTGAAAGGAAAAACAGGGTCCATTCAAATGTAGATACCATAAATAATTATTGTTTTTCTACAGTCATATAAACTGAGGTTCAAGAGTGCAATTATCTAAGTCACCTACTCTATCACCTTGCCAAGGCACGCTTGTCCTCTCACTAACATATATGGTCATGCCTATTTTCTTCCACAATTTGATCTGAGGAAGTGGGTCTGGGCCACGAAAGGTCATCACCTAATAAACCATCTTGTTAGTCTTTAAAGTGCTACATAGTCCTGTTTTTTGTTTCATTTTCAAACTCAGCAGCCTAAAGTTAGGCAGGTAAGGGCCACATCTTTAAGTGGTGTAAATTGGTGTTGCTCTTTGGACGTCAGTGATCTGTGTGAATTTACACCAGCTGAGATTTGGCCCCATAATCTCTAGTTAGGCTCCTATACAAAAGTGGCCTAATTCTCAGAGGTGCCTAGGCCTCACTCCAACCACTAGGGGTCTCTGAAATCTCAGGATTTTAAAAGCTGAAAGATCAGCAGAAGTGAAGGCCTGAGCCTGTTTGTCAGAGGAACTAAAAATGGGCTGTTGCCCTCATAGGCTTGCTGATCTCTGAGCAAGGTATATCCACTATAAAGTGCTGTAGGCTACAGCAAATGGTTAGTAACTTAGGCTCCATCAGTGGCTCTGTTGGAGTGTGGCTTGCTCTTTAGAACCCAAGAATGCAGCATTCCCAGTTCCTGTGGCTCTGTGAATCTTGTGATACATAGGCTATGTCTAGACTGCAGAGTTGAAAGTATCCCGGAAAAACTCTGCTGCATCCAAGGAATGCGTCTGCTTTTCTGAAAAAAAAAAAAAAATTCAAAAAAGCAGATGCGTTTTTTTGGCAACCCTGTAAACCTTGTTTTACGAGGAAGAAGGGATGTTCCAAAAAAGGGTTTTTTCCCCTGACATTTGGCCCAGTGTAGATGGGCCAAATGTCGGCAAAGCCTCTTCCAAAAAAAGAATCAGCAATTTGCGTATCTTTTTCTGAAACACCCCCTTCCCACCCTCACGGTGGTCAGAAACCATAACACACTTTGCACTAAAGGCCCTGCACAGGGATGCTCTCTTCCCTTGCAAGGAGAGGCTAATGATCGATTTCCAGTGTGGAAAGAGAATCCCTACATTCCAGGGCATCCTGTCTGGGATCTATAGAGCCTGCGTGGGGTGGATTAGCATTCCTCAAGTGGGGGTGGTGGTGTGTACCCACGGGGGTGGGGCTGATATATGGCTGGGAAGCAACGGGTGGGACCAATAGCAATGTTTGTGCAGGCTGAAACAGCTTCTGTTTAACTTAGGAGTGATTCACTGAGGCTCAGACCATGCAGGGTGCTGACCCAACATCTGTCACTCACAGCTGCAGTCAGAGGACGCTGAGTGCAGTCAACATCTTGCGGGAGTGGACCCAGATGAGGAACTACCAGGGATGACTGATGATGGCTCATGATGTGAAACTTAATTGAGGAGAGAGTTAACTGCAGTAGCAGTTACCCCATTGTAGGTGGGTCTCGTCTTGCTAAGGGGACCTGGAAACTTTACAAACTTTTGTAAATTGGAATAGGTCTCTGTCTCCCAGGCATTGGTGAAGACTGAAATTCTGCTGTGTCCTCTGGACAAGGCTCCATCCTGTAGCCCTTAGAAAGACTCCAAGAGGGGGCAAAGCCAATCCAGTCCAGCTAGAGATAAGCAGACTCAGCGGACTTCTTAGGCAGTCTTGATAGCAGAATGCCAGCTGCCATGTAAAATTGCCATCCTTAGGGTGAACTTCCACTCCAGCACCCCTACTGCTTCAGATACAGGGAGGGATGGTCTGCCCCCCTCTGAGCCACTAGGTGTAAATCTGACCCTTCATTTACATGCTGGAGCCTCAAAGAAGTTAGAGATGGCCTAAAGAAGTGGGGGGTTTGTTCCAACTTGAGTGTGGCTGGGGAACTCTGCTAAATTGGAGCCTTAGTGAATGACCTGTTAAAATAAAAGACAAAGCCACAGGAGTTAAAAACAGGTATAATCTCCTTAGAATTACACATACTAGACTTGTAATGTAGCCCCCTTGCTTCTCCCATAAAGTGCATTTTATTATCCAGTCTGACCTAAAAAATCCAAGCCACAGGACTCTCTTGGGCTTTTTTGGGGGGGTCTACAGCAGAGGTGGACAACCTGCAGGCCACATGTGGCCCATCTGGTTTCTATGTGTGGCCCACGAGACATTTTGTTTACTGTTGCCCACATGCACGGTTGCCAGATTCTGTTGGTTTCCAACCACATCGTTTAGTAAAAGTGGTAAGAAAAAAAAACCTAACACACATGTACAGTGTGGGCACACAAAGAGAGGTGTGTGCTGATTGCACACAGCATTGACTGTAAGAACGGTGTGCTCCCTCTGCATCCAATCCATGTGCTGCTATGGTTCAGTGGGTACACCCTGCAAATTCTAGGTCCGCTGCGCAGTTAGCTAAACTACCTTATCCTGGGAGCCCATCCTGGTTATGACAATCATGTGGCCCACTGAGATGCACAGCTGCTTGTGCTGCCTACTCATCAGCCTAAGTTGCTCGTCACTGGTCTACAGCCAAACAGATCTCCCTGGTTGGAAATATTTCCTGATATTCAGTGTCTATACATTTTAATTTGCTGATTTATTCTATGTTACTATTTGCATTGCGGTAGGATCCAAGAGCCTCAGTCACGGATCAGGATTCCATTGTGCTAGGCACGGTACAAACACAGGGCAAAAAGCCAGTCCCTGTCCCCAAAGAGCTGACAATCTAAGTATAAGATAAGAGACAACAGGAGGATAAAGAAAAAGGCACAGGAATTCCCCCTAGTTCTAGCGTATCCACTTCCCTATACTTTAATGTTCTTATTTCACTTTACCACACAGCATCAGTTTTCATTAAGTATTTAATTTTACCAGGGCTTGGTGTGTTTTTGTTTGTTTTTTAAGAAAGCTATAAACTACTGCTTTACCTATTTGTTTATCTAAAAATCTAGAAAAGAAGAGGCAATTCTAATTCATTGGAAAATTCATTTGCTTAAAAAACCCTTTTTATAGCTGATATTTTTTCCAGCAGACCCCCAATAACAAAAATCCACCTATTTATTCACAATAAAAGGCATCACCAAGTTATTTATCTTTGGATAGACACAAGGAACCCATCTGAAAGCACTATACAAAGGAGGTTAATATCATTATCCTTGTTCTATGGCTGAGGAAACCCAGGCCTAAGGGCTCCCAGCACACCAGAGGCAGGAACACAACCCTGCTCCTCTGAATAGCACTCTAGCGCTATATCCATTAGGCCATACTACTCTGGTGTTGTAAAAGTGCCTAGGTGCCTCAGTCATGGACTGAACCCCCATTGTGTAGAGCACTGTACAAACAGGACAAAAAGACATTTTCTGCCCCAAAAAGCTTACAATCTAAGTACCAATCCTGAGCAGCAAAGTCTCATAAATCTTTGGCTCTTCTCCAAGTGGCTACACACCAGCCTTGTCTCCAAGACAAAGGAGAGAACCATAACAATAATTCCTGTCATAGGATACAATGGCTCCTTTATCCTCTCTCCAGTCTAATAGGTAATCTGTACCAAGCCTCACTCTGATCCAGAACTCCCCCTTACAAGGGGAACAGTACTGTGTTTATTGGTGTTGTGGGTTTTTTACGTGCACAGCGGTCACAGAGACAAAGGCAGTGCTATTTCACTCCTGCTGCCCAACACAAAGCTGGCAGAATGTGCCTGGGGAGACAGAGTTGATTTGGCTTGTGGCATCATCTGTTTAATAGCAACTTGAATTGGCGTAATCCACCAGGGGTGTCAGCCAGGTGCCATCATGTCTCCTGAGGACACGTATGCAATGGGCCTGACTTACCTGGCACACAACACTCATGGTTCTATGCAGAGACAAGGGATGGCCAGCATGGCAGTGGGTGAAGGCCCATGAGAAGAAGGCTAGCCCAGCCCCACCCCTTCCACCTGAGGCCCTGCCCCTTCAGCAACTTCCCTCCCCTCCCCCCCATGGAGCCAAGCCCTGCCTGACCCCATCCCTATCCTTCTTGGCCCCCTGGAGGGCAGAGTACACCACGCTGCACCCAGGGCCCACCCCAGCAGCTGTGAAAATGGGCTCCCACGGGAGAGTGAGACACAAACCAACAGGCTGCCATTACCACAGGTTGTGGAGAGTGATGGAAAAGCACAGTCAGTGCTGGGGGCGGGGAGCGGAGCATGAGAGCCCTCCCTCAGCTCTGCTTCTCTCATCCCTCCCCCACCCCTGAAAACATTGTGCTCCTGCAGGTCATTGTTTGCTCTACCCCCTTCCCCAGTAGCTTTCCTTTGACTGGGATGGAGAGAGAAGAGCACCAGGCTGCAAGAGCAGCTGTTTGCATGTAGTGCTAGTGCAGAGGGCTTTGTTCCAGACTCAGACACTGACAACGCAAAGCCTCTTACAGGAGTAAAATGCAGCCCCACAGGGTGGATGGCCCCTGCCAAACAGGCCAGACTAGTGTGTCCACTAGTCCTGGCCTCTGTCTCAAGCTGGGCCAGTACTAACTGGCTCACTGGAGTGGGGAATTCTCAAATGGGGCTGATTTGGCAGTTGGAAATCAAAACCCATAACAAAAAATCCAAGTGGGGAAGCTCAGATACTAGGACCCTGAAAACAAGCCAGCCCATCAGCAGGGGTCTGCCAGTTCAGCAGCACAGTAACAACAATCCTATGTCTCACAGAAACAGCCCCTTTCCGCTGAACAACCCAAAATACTTCACAAACACTGGCCTTGATTCTTCAGGGATGCTGGTGAGAACAGATGCCAACATGAAGCAGAGGTAAGAGAATGGAGCCTGCAGCCCAGGAACTGTAACCCTTTCAAGAGGCTGGGCCACTAGAGGAACACAGCCTACTACTGCTACCACTTTTGCTTAAGTGGGGGAGATCTGTGCTGTGTTGTTGAAGGGCCTGTCCTCAGATACTGAGGAGTATGAGCACCCTGATTTTGGTTTTGTAAAGTCATAATGGGGAGCTTTAACAAAATGAACTGTCTCCTCTTTAGTGCCATGCTCTGATGGGGGGGTTTCAACCTTTTTCTTTCTGAGGGCCCCCCACATGATATTAAACTCTGCAGCCCACCTGTGCCACAGCAACTGTTTTCTGCATGTCCACTAGATTAAAACCGGGGCCAGCATTCAGGGGTAGCAAGCAGTGCAACTGCCCAGAGCCATGTGTCACAGGGGGCCCTACAAAGCTCAGCTGCTTTGGGCTTCCATTTCTACCCAAAGTACTGGGGTTGGGGCTTTGGCTTTCTGCTCTGAGCCCCAGCAACTCTAACACTGGCACCTCTCTGGTTTATTTGGTTGGCCCCCTGAAACCTGCTTGTGCTCCCCCTCCCCCCCCCCATAGGGGCTCTGGACTTTTGGTTGAGAACCACTGCTTTAGTTAAAGTTTACAAAGATAGCGAGGTGAGTCAGGGTCTCTTCATCCATTCCTGCGGCTGCTGGAACAAAGGTTGGTGATTCTTCCAATAACAAAGACTCACTGTACAGAAAGAACTTTGAATTGATATCAGTCAACAGCTTCAGGTTTGCAAGTGGATTAAATGCAGGATGTTTGAAAGGCATAAGTGAGCTGGCCCCTCTAAGGGGATTTGGAAAAATCAGTGACCTAGAAAATTCAAACCTGCCAACTCCTCACTGTTTTCCAGTGAGTCTTGATTGTTTATGTATTTAGAGACTCACACAACCTCCTACCTCCAAGGACATCTCAGGTTTCACTGCATTCAGCTCTGTTAACTCTTTATGCCCGGCAAAGAGAACATCCAAGCACCTGCACTAAAAAGAATGCATAGTAACTCAGACGTAGCTTATTACTAAGGATCTCTGGAGAGAGATGGTTACAGCTGTGTAGAAAGCTTGGAACATAACCTAACAGCATTCACACTCACCTGGTCTGGGTTTCATCATAAAAGCAAGACTTGGGCCAAGTTCGCTGGCAGGTTCACTCAGGTGCATGAGTCATTCAATGGAACCTGGGCCTAGCTTTGATCAAGTCTTGGCTGGTTCTGGGTTTAATTTAAAAAATGGGAGACTCAGGGCAAATTCAGATCTCTTTGTGCTTCAAGCTTAATTTTGGCCCAAACCTCAGAGTCTGGTTTGGGGGAGGTGGGAGGGAATGCAAATGCACACAAACCAAAACCAAAAAAGGAGTTGGCTTGAATGTTTATAAGCTGACACAGTCCAGCTGTAGGAATGATGCACAAAGAAAAAAAAAAGCCAGACAGACTAGGGAGAGGACATACTGGCATGGGGTGTAACAAGTGACCCTCAAATAGTCTGCAGGAGAGATGAGGCCACACTACAAGATTCTGCTGCAAATCTGAACTTCAGCGATGTTTTTGGGGTCAGGCTTCGATTCAGCACTCTCCCTTCTTTTAGGATAACACAGTGGTTTCCAAACTTTTCGACATCACACCCCCTTTTTGATTATTGAAAAACCCTCATGCCCCCCTCAACAGCAAAACTTGTTGAGCAAAAAAAAAAAAACCTGACCGGGGCAGCAAAACTTGAAAACTTGATGGAGAGTGGGGGAGACTCTGGGTTGCCTCAGGCCCTCTCTGGAATTTCTTCATGTCCCATCCCTAGGGGGGGGCACACCCTCCAGTTTGGAAACCCATGGTAGCAAGATAACAAGAGGAGGGGAATTGAGAGACTTTGTTAGGTGGGTGGGAATTTGGCTTGAAATCTCATTAGCATAGATCCCCCTACTCCATGGCTACATCTAGATTGGCATGATTTTCTGGAAATGCTTTTAACGGAAAAGTTTTCCATTAAAAGCATTTTCGGAACAGAGCGTCTAGATTGGCACAGACGCTTTTCCGCAAAAGCACTTTTTGTGGAAAAGTCTCTGTGCCAATCTAGACGCGCTTTTCTGCAAAAAGGCCCCGATTGCCATTTTCGCGATCGGGGCTTTTTTGTGGAAAACAAATCTGAGCTGTCTACACTGGCCCTTTTGCACAAAAGGGACTTTTGCCTGAACAGAAGCAGCATAGTATTTCCGCAAGAAGCACTGATTTCTTACAGTAGGAAGTCAGTGCTTTTACGGAAATTCAAGCAGCCAATGTAGACAGCTGGCAAGTTTTTCCGGAAAAGCGGCTGATTTTCCAGAAAAACTGGCCAGTCTAGACACAGCCCATGAGTCTTCTAATGCTGCCTGACTCCAGCTAAGCCGGCAATACCTCAACCAAGGGATTTCTGTTACATTTCACCTTTAACCCCATGTGAATTTAGGTGTATGAAAAACTGGGTGAGGTGAGGAAGTTAACCAAATATTTGTGAACTACCCAAAAAGGTCAGGGTTGAGTGGAGTTTCAGCTCTGGTGTTAGTTTACCTGCCACAATTAATGAATACCTGAGCACCCCAGAACACACAGCCACCTGTGGGCATTCGAGTCTTAACGTGCTGGCCAGAGTGCAGTGAGCTATGGGCTGTACAGTTCAGACTAAGCCATGTACTGTGTCTTTAAACAGAAGGGTCAGGGAGAAGGGTGTAGCCAGTTCAGCCAGACAGTGTCACATATGGCAGTGCTTCTGGGCAGGCTCTGTGCACTGGGAGGGACTGTCTGGGGTTTAGTCACGACACTGATATCAGAGGCGGATGCACTGGGCACGCAGCCCAGGTCCACCTTGCCCCCACAAGGTGGTGTGTGCTGCTTGCCAAAGGACTGATGAGTAAACACTTCCGCATACAGGCTCAGCCCTCTGCTCTGTCACACCTATAATTGGTGGCACGGCAGCACCTGAGCAAACTTACACCCTTCAAACAGCAGCTGGGCTGGAGTCACATACAGGAGCCTGAAACAGACCTCAGAAGCTGAGGGGGGAACCTCAGGAGAGAGTCAGAGAGAAGCCAAGACCTGAGTGCCAAGCAGCAAGTCCCTTGTGTACCTCTGAGCCTCCCTTCGCCTGCAGGCCTGGGGGAGATGAGCATTTCTTCGGAGCACAGACCCCTTGGGAAACAAGTCACCAGCAGCCTGCAAACGGTGAGCGGGCCTGGCTGTGTTCTATCTGGTGGGGTCTTGGCCGTTTGCAGTGGGATTAGCACCCCTCTTTTGCCCCATTCTGGATGTTATGCTGCTTTTAACTGCTTGCCAGTTTTGAGACTCAAGGTTTAGTCAGCACCCAAAGATGACTGTATGAAAAGCCTTTCATTCCAGTTTTCTCACATTGTCCATTCTGAGCAGAACGATGCCTCTTTAGACACCAGGGGGCTGGCAGCAGCAAAGCCTGCACTGGGCAGTGATTTCTGCACCTGAATGGAAGGAACTATCTTGACTTTAACTTATATTTGTTGGAAATGTATTTTTAAAAAATACCCAAGCTTTTCCTGCTCAATGGGCATCTTACATAGTTGACAATGACAGCAAGATTATCCTTGTGTTTTCCATTTGCAGAATATCAATGCCAGACTAGCATAGCAGGTTCGCTATCATGTAACACCAAGGCTAGGTCTACACTAGGAAATCAGGTTGGTACAACTGAGTCACTCAGGAGTGTGAAAAATCCATACCCTGCCCTGAACAAGAATTAAATCAACTTAACGCTTGGAGCAGGCAGTGTTAGGGCAGCAGGAGAGTTTGCCTCTTGGGAAGGCAGAGCACTATGTGTTCAGCATCTTCACTGAATGCTATAGTGGCTTAGCTGCAGCGTTTTAAATATAGGCCTGCCCCTAGTGAGAGTCGCCAGTAGCAAAACCCAGCTATTGTACAATACTTCTCATCACAGCCCTTTATAAATGAAGTCAATGTTATTATCCCTATTTTATAGATTGGGACACTGAGGCATGGTGGGAGAGCCAGGACTACAACAATTTAGGTCTCCCGAGTCCTAAACCAATGTTCTCTCCACTAAGCCACATTCCCTAGGGCTGCTAATTAGTGAGCAACCAAATAAAGATGGTAAAATTGTTAAGAAAGCTGCAGTAGTGAATGTAAAATGTGTTCATTTCCTCTGACAGAGTAGTTTGCTGTTTGTCACAGAGGACAACCCTTTGTGTATGTTTCTGCAAAAGAAGTGAAGACCTTGCTTCCCAGCCCTGCTGTTTGATCGTTGCTGGGAAGTGAGTGAAATTGCTCGTTTTCAGGTGGGACTTATTGGGTTTGCGGGCTAGTGTAAAAACATGTAGTGAGGGTCCATTATAGAAATATTGTTGGGGCTTCATCTACTGTTCCCCACAATCATTTATACCTTTGTCAGGTGGGTGTAAAATGCTTCCTAGGGTGAATGACACCACTGGACACCCACTTTGCTTTGGTGTAAATGGCTGTGCAAGATACAGGACGATGGAAAATCAAGCCCATTTTATTTCACTGTTCCTTTGGAACCTTATATGTAACCTTCATGTTTCCCCCACATTTTCTGGATACGGGCTCAGTCCTGAGCGCCTGGGCCCTGACTTAGCAAAGCACTTGAAGCTTCCCTTTGGTTCTGGTGGAGTTGATCCTTGTGCACTCAAGCCCTATGAGTATGAAAAAGAACAGATGAGATGAGTACTAGAAGCCTGCTTTGTTCCTGATGCTTTTCCAGTGGCAAGGTGTGGTTGTAGCAGTATATTGCATGTGACTTGCATTCCAGGTGTAATTGTGTTAGACAGCACAAACCTGCTTAGTGGCTGACTTTTAAATAAACAAGAAAACTGTGTCATCCACACACACACACACTTGGCTGCACTAAGCACTAAATAAAGGGGCTATGCAGAAGAGGATGCGGTGTCTTTTTTCATTAGTCAGCACTGGGGGTATTATGCTTCTAGAGGAGCCATCAGAAGTAAAACTAAGTTTGTGACTGCTCTGGGCGTTCAAAGAGTCCATGGCATTTTTCACAACCATGGTGACATTATGGCTTGCAGAAATTCAAATCTGAATAAATTCCCCTGTAGTGTTAGGTTGGCATATTTTTCACTTTGTGGGCTAAAGTATTGGAAAGTTTGAGGGTGCCTTGATAAACAACTGTTTTCTTCCACCCCAGAAATGGCTGCATTTCAGTGGTGTTTGAATAACTAATTCAGTATACTTTAGGTCTTTGGCCCCCAAACAGGTAAAACTAATTTGTTTTTTTCCACACAGCTCTTGTCCCAAATCTTAAGAGAAAACCCAAATCAAGAGGAGAGGAATATAAAACTTTAGTTATGAATACTGTAAAAATCCTTGTTTGTCCTCATGCTTATTGCTGTCAACTCACTGAAACAACACACCAGCAGAGAGAAGTCAGCACTCCATGTTCCTAAGGCATAGATCTCTCTTGAGCAAATAGAGAATACAAAGAGGAAAGATGGTCCAGCAGTTATGGCACTCACCTGAAACTCAAGTTCAGGTCTGTGCTCAACCACAGACTTCCTTTGTGACCTTGGTCAAGTCACTTGGTCTTTTGGTACCTCAGGTTCCCAACTGTAAAGTGAGGTTAGTGGTACTTCCTACCTCACAAGAGTGTTGTATGGAGAAATACATTACAGAGTGTGAAATACTCAGATGTTATGGCAATGGGAATCATATAAGTACCTTAGACCATTGGTTAGCTATTAGCACAGTGATGGGTAACCTGTGGCCCATGGGCCACATACAACACCTCAGGGTTATATGTGTGTCCCATAAGACATTTTGTTCACCATTGCCCAGAAGCGGGGTTGCCAGATTCCACTGGTTTCTGTCTGCATAGTTTTTTTTTCCTACCAGTATAAAGTGATCTGCACATAAACCAAGGGCTTGTGAATTGAGATGTGTGCTGATTGAACACAACGTAGACTCTGAGAACCATGTACTCCGCATCCAACTACATCGCTGCTACGGTTCAATTGGCACACCCCGCTAATTCTAGGTATGCAAGCACAGTTAGCAAAATTACCCTATCCCAGGTATCATCTTGGTAACAACCATCTTGTGGCCCATTGAGATGAAGGGCCACTCATGCAGCCCACCTTTGCCTAGGTGGCCCATCAGGATACTAGCAGGATATGAACTCAGATGCAGAGGGAAGCAGCTCTGAGTCCATCCAGTAGGGGGCAGTGACACACTAGCTAGTTAATTCTAATTTCCAACATCTCTGATGTGTTATTTCTTCCCTGTACTACAGCTGTCACCAATTGTGGAGTTAAATGTTGGTGGGGAGGTGTACACAACAATGCTGAGCACCCTGAAGAAACACCCAGGCTCCAAGCTGGCAGAGATGTTCACTGGCCAGCCCAAGCTCAGGACTGACTCTGAGGGGAGGTTTTTCATTGACAGGCCAGGCACCTATTTTAAGTACATCTTGGAATACCTCCGCAGTAACCAGGTGCCCACCCAGTGCATCCAGGACGTGTATAAAGAAGCACTATTCTATGACATCGAGCCGCTGGTCAAGCAGCTCGAGGACTCCCCTCAGATTTTTGGTGAGGTGGTGGCAAGGAAGCAGTTTCTGGCCCGTGTGCCCAACTACAGCGAGAACATTGAGCTGATGATTCGCATCGCCAGGGCAGAGGCGGTAGCATCCCGCCAGTCCAGCGTCACGGTGTGTGTGGTCAAGACCGAGGAGGACGTAGCCAAGTGTCACGATGCCCTGAGCAGCTTGGACATGGATAAGAAATCGGTGGTGAAGTTTGGCCCCTGGAAGGCGACGCCGAGCATTTCTGATCTGCTGGATTGCATTAAAATGGACATTGAAGCCAAAGGATACAAGATCTCCTTCCAGCCCCACACCACGGAGAAAGGCTTCCGGTTCAAATCCTACATCTTCTTCTACAAATTTCTGTTCACATGGTGGTAGCCAAATGGAACTGTTGGCAGTGATTTTAAATGGCTCTTCAAATAAATAGATTTCTGTTTTAATACAGAGAATCTCTACCTATGGCCCTTCCTGCAGAACCTTTTGGAAACCAAGCTGTGGACAGTGGTGTAGATGGGAAGAGAAGAAGGGGCCAATGAAAGAATCTCTTGGATTTTACCTGCCAAATTCAACAGAAATTAAGAACCGCTGTTTTAATAGGTACATTTTTTAAAAGGAGAGAGATCCTCACATTTCTAAGCCTTTCTCATCCAACATGCATAGGCCTTCTGTGCCTTTCTGTCCCTTCTGCTTACTTCACTGAGAAGTAACAGTCCTGCAGAGTCAAGGCAGCTAGAGAAGAATAAGCTGGATTTCATTCTTTGTTGGGGTGGGCAAGATCTAGCCCGTGGGCTGGATCCGGCCCACCAAGCCATTTCATCCACCCTGCCACCCACCCTGCCATGCACTTGGCCCCAGGCCAATCAAGCCCTGGGGCAGAGGAGCATGCAAAGTCTCCTCCCTCCCCACTGGGAACGCGTGACACCAGAAGGAACCGCCAGCTGTTCAATATTGCTGGCAGTTCCCTCTAGGCTCCACGCACCCTGGCAGGGTTGGGGTGGGAAACTTTGTGTGCTCCTGTGCCCCCAGGCCAATTAAAGCTTGGGGGCGGGGCAGTGCTAGAAGTCTCCTCTCCCTGCCAGAGGCACACAGTGCCAGAGGGAATGGCCAGCTGTTCAAAATGTTTGGCAGTTCCCTCTAGGTGTTGCATGCTCTGGGAGCTTGGAGTGGAGACCTTGTGTGCTCCCCGCCCCCACACCAATTGGAGTCTGTGGGCAGGGGAGCACATAACATCTCCTTCCCCCGAACCAGGAGCACGCAGCATTAGAGGGAACCACCAGCTGTTCAAAACGGCGGGGGGTTGCCTCAGGGCGCTGTGTGCCCCTGGCAGGGCGGCGGAGAGGGGAAGAGACCTCCTGTGTTCCCCTGCCCCTAAAGTGCTGGAAATTAATATGTGCATCAGGAGACACAATGAAATCCTTTGGTGAATATTAGATGGAAGACTCTCATAAGGAGTATAGCCAGGTGCCTGTATTCTTTACTAAAGCAAACCTCCCTTTTGACTTCAGTGAAAAATTTTGCCTGAGGGGGTGCTCAATTGAGTCTTCTGCCATTTTCAAAAATCTTAATATTCAGAAGTTTATTTTTATTTATTTTTACACTTGAGATAGTTGATTATTTTAAATTATTAACTGTTCCAGGGACATTTGAAAATCATACTGGTTATTCTAGATCATGGCTGTATGCTTATTATTACTCTCAAAATATGGGCTGCCTCCCATAAAGGACAATATATGTTTTGAGATACTAAATAAATACATTTTAAAAAGCCTCTTTACATAGTGTAAATCTATCTTCTTTATTATCCTCTTAAAACCCCCAATGCTTTCCTTATGCACTACTGGAAATCTATAAAGCGTAGTATCAAAAGCCTACATCCTGGTTATTGATCTTCCAGTGATGTAAATCAGAGATGACGCCACTGAAGTCAATGTAGTTACTTTATGTAAAACTGGTGTAAGTGTGAGACTCAAGAGCCCTCTAAAATTTTGAAGCCTTAGGCAAGATTTTAAAAAGTGACTAAAGATTTTGTGTGCCCAAAATCCCTTAGAGGGGCCTGGTTCTCAGGCAGTGCTGAGCATCCACTACTGCAGGTCACTTCTGAAAATGTTGGCCCTGATTCCCTATGACCTTCCCTATGACACCGTGGCTACATCTAGACTGGCATGATTTTCCGGAAATGATTTTCACGGAAAAGTTTTCTGTTAAAAGCATTTGCGGAAAAGAGTGTCTAGATTGGCACGGACGCTTTTCCGCAAAAGTACTTTTTGTGGAAAAGCATCCGTGCCAATCTTGATGTGCTTTTGTGCAAAAAAGCCCCGATCGCCATTTTCGCGATCGGGGCTTTTTTTGCGGAAAACAGTACTGTGCTATCTACACTGGCCTTTTTGCGCAAAAGCTTTTGCGCAAAAGGACTTTTGCCTGAACGGGAGCAGCATAGTATTTCCGCAAGAAGCTCTGATTTCTTACATGAGATCGTCAGTGTTCTTGCGGAAATTCAAGTGGACAGTGTAGACATCTGGCAAGTTGCTGGCAAGTTGCTGGCAGCTGCTTTTGTGGAAAAACTTGCCAGTCTAGACACAGCCTGTATGTTTAGTCCTCAGAGTTCTGTACATAACGCCTGTTCCAATGCCTATTGAAATAACACTCTCCTTTGACTTCACTGGGCAAAGAACCTGATCCTGAGATGTACCACTCTCCTTTAATTTCCACTGTACTTAATGGGAGTTAAGGGCACTCAACCCTTCACAGGATTTAGATCTAGTTATGTTAAATATTTGCAACCAAACTGAAAAGCACATGAAACATACCCAGTTTGGGGGTTTGATTACAAAAACACAGCACTGTTTTGGAGAAATCACATTCCAAATTAAAACTAGGGATGTCAACGTGTAGATGGCTACACAATTAACTGATAAGCCTGGGCTTATCAGTTAATCTTCTTGATTACACGCACTCCCCACATTGCTACCTCTGTATCAGAGGAAGCAAGTGGGGGGGGGAGCAGGAGTTGGTGCCCGTGAGGGCAGCTCCCCACAAGCATTGGATCCGCCTGTCTCCTTCCCACACCTGCACTGCTGCCTCTGACAGAGAGGCAGCTGCGCCGAAGGTAAGGAGAGCAAACGCGAGCCGATATGCACGGGGAGCTGGCTTTTAAGTGGCTCTTTGTGCATGCCAGCTCTGTGGACCTGCCCGCTTTCCCTTGCTGCCTCCAACAAGGAGCCGGTGCTGGGGAGAGCTCGCTTAAAAAACAGTTCCCCCCAGCACCAGGTCTGTGGCGGCACCTGCCCTCCCTCCCCTATGCTGCTGCCTCTGCGACAGGGGACAGGGGAGGCTGCCACGGAGTAGCCTCTGTCTGTGGGCCTGCCACGGACCAGAGGCTGCTCCAAAGTGGCAGCCCCTGTTTGTGGAGGGTCCAAGCTCTGTGGACAGGGGCTGCTGTTGTGGAGCAGCCTCTGTCTGCAGGGAACTTGGACCCCCATGGACAGGGGCTGCTGCCATGGAACAATCTTTGTCTGTGGAGAGCTGCGACCCTCCACTGACAGGGGTGGCAGGTGGGAGCCGGTCTGCGCAGGGAGCTTGGCTTTTAAAAGCTGTATCTGGGGCAGCATGTGGGGTGACGGGATTCGCTGGGAGTGGAGTTGTAGCGCACTGGCTGCGTGCCTCCTCTCCAGGGACTATCAAATAGTTGTGTAACCACTAAGATTTCATGTGGTTACATGACTGTTCAATTACGTGATATCTAACATCTCCAGTTAACTTTCTTCCCTGAAAAATGTTTTTATTTCTAGATATGATAGGCCAAAATCTCATAATGCTGATGCAACTGTACTGATTTCAGTGGGTTTACACAGGAATTACTTTGGCCTGATATAGTCTGTATTTGTGTGTAGCATAGGAATCTAAGGTCTTCAAAAAGAGAGATGTGCTTGAATCAGCTCTGAACATCACCAAACTTTGTTGGGTCAGAATCCATACCCAAATGCAGAACTAGTCTCTGACCCCTATTTCTTTTGGAGACACGGGACATGAAATCTTGATTACATTTTAGTTCACAAAGGCTATAGTTAACTTTAAAGACAGCTTCCAACTTGTTTGATTTTTCCACCTCTTCCTAACTTCAGCAAAACCAAACACATCCCCATGAAGTATTTCATGCCACATGTTACACCACAATAGAATTTTTCTGAAACATTTGGGTCACTATTATATAACTTATATAACTTCAAATCTTTCCATTAAAAAGGGGGTAAACACCAGGTAGATAAATATTTTATCAAGCATGTCTAAGTATTGCATGAACCTTGACAGATGGGCAAGACCAGGACACAGCAAACAAATATGTTTCACCTTTATTTACCTAATCTATATCAAATACTTATGAAACACAATTAAAGATAAAAATTCTCTTGTCACAGTATAATAGTAAGTTTCCTAGACTGGTATCCTAGAATTTGAAAAGCATATTATATACTTGTAAAGAAATCAGTGAAACTAGTCTTGGCATGAAGCAAAACAGTCTTTTATATAGAAGCTAACATTTTTAAGGGCTCCTTCTGGCTACTTTCAGAGCACATGTGGAGGTGTAACCACCATCAGGCAAATTTGAACCTGGGATCACTTAGGCTATGTCTACACTGGCAGCTTCTTGTGCAAGAACTCTTTTGCGGAAGAGTTCTTGTGCAAAAACTCTTCCAGAAGAGAGCATCTACACTAGCATGTGCTTTTGCGCAAGAGCATCCATGCCAGTGTAGACACTCTCTTGCGCAAGAAAGCTCTGATGGCCATTTTAACCACAGGGCTTTCTTGCACAAGAAATTCATGTTGCCTGTCTACACTGGCCTCTTGCGCAATAACAGTTGCGCAAAAGGGCTTATTCCTGAGGGGGAGCGTCAGAACTCTGGCACAAGAAGCCCTGATTTCATACGTTAGAACGTCAGTTTACTTGAGCAAGAACACGCGGACAGTGTAGACAGGCAGCAAGTTTTTGCGCAACATTGCGCTAGTGTAGACACAGCCTGGCTGTGTCTACACTGACTGCGTATTACGGAATAGGCATGCAAATGTAGCACTTTGGAAAAGGCAAATCCACGGGGGATTTAAATATCCCCCGCGGCATTTGCATTTTCATGGCCGCCGCTTTTTTCCGGCTTGGAGATAAGCCGGAGAAAAGCGTCCAGACTGGCGCGATCCTCCGGAATAAAGCCCTTGCAAGTAGGAATAAGAGATCCTCCGGAATAGGGCTTTATTCCGGTGGATCGCGCCAATCTGGATGCTTTTCTCTGGCTTATCTCCAAGCCGGAAAAAAGCAGCGGCCATGAAAATGCAAATGCCGCGGGGGATATTTAAATCCCCTGCGGATTTGCCTCTTCCAAAGTGCTACATTTGCATGCCTATTCCATAATAGGGGCCAATGTAGACGTAGCCCCTGAGTGTAGGAGCCTCCACAGCTTGAAATATAAAGCCAGCTGGCTCTCAGCTTAGGCTGTAGAGCTCCCTTGTCTAAGTGCCACTACGTGGGACAGTGAACCACCCTAGGTCTGTGGATTACAGAGGTATTTATTAAAACATGTTACTGAGAATAATAACAGGAATGAATTTCCCGTCTGTATCACTGAACTGAGGTACTCTTCCCACAGACAAAGAAAGTCATACATTTTTAACTGTGAACATAATCTATTGGAATAATTTGTCAAAGGTTGTGGTGGATCCTCCAGGATGGGCAATTTAAAATCAAAATAGAATGTTATTCTAAAAAATCTGCTCTTGTTCAAACAGGAATTATGGGGAGTCCTATACTCTGTGTTGTATAGGAGGTCTAGGCATGCACACAGGGAGAGATGCGAAGGTGCAAATGCACCTCCCTGACCACCCAAGTCAGCATGAGGGGGCTCCTCAGGCGCCTTCCTGGTGGTCTGCAGCTCGATCTCAGCTCTCCTCCTACTAGTGCAGTGGGGAGCCCACACGGGCACAGTAGCCTCACCCTCCCACATCCCCCCATGCGGTTGGTGCACTAGCATTAGCTTCCTGCTGGTGGGGAGGGGAGAAACCCCAGAGCCTCACTACATGATCTGACTTGCAGGGAAAAAGGGCTCCCCCTTCCCCTCTCCTGGTTGGGGGAACAGCAGTGCGCAGGCTTGCTGCTGTTCCCACAGCTGTGGGAAGGGAAAGGGGAAGAGAAGTGCTCCTTTCCCACAAGCTGGATCACGTAGTGCGGCTCAGGTCTTTCTCTCTCCCACCCCCTCACTGGGAAGCTGGAGCTGGTGCTCCAGCAGAATCCAGCCAATGAGAGCAGCGGGAGGCAGTGCCTGGGATTAGTATGGGGCAGAAAGGCAAATAAGTGCCCCCCCACCCCTTCATGCCCAGCCCCCTCACACACCACCACCCCCCCCCCCTGCTCCTGCACCCTCCCTCATGGCCAGACACCCTATCCCCACCTTGCTTCTGAAAAACCACTTTGCTCCTGCACCCTTCCTCCTGGCACCTTCCCTGGTTCTTGCCCCATCCTTCTGGCAAGACACCATACTCCCAGCCTGTTCTTGTATCCTACCTCCCACCCAGACCTTGTACCCTCATCCCCCTCCTATCCCAATGTCCTGTGTAGATCCTGTACCCCCATCCCCCCCCAAGCCTGCTCCTGCATCCTCCCTTGCTCCTGCACCCTCCCCCTGGCCAGACACCCGCCCCCTACCCTGGTCCTGCAGCACTAGCAAAATGGCTTGGGTGTAATTATGTAATTAACAGTGAGTTTCCATTAGCAACTGATGATTCATGGAAAGGTTTGCATTGAACCAGGTGGTCCACAGGCCAAAAAGTTTGAGAACCACTGTGTTAAGTGGATGGGAGAGTGCTGTGTTGGGGGGTGGGTAGGCAAAGCTGGTGGTAGTGCAATAGGGCTGGGGGAATAGCGCCCCCCCCCACCTGCAAGGAGCAGCCTGAGCCTGGCCCTGCTGGCCGGATGCCTCACCTGCTCTCACCTGACCCTGGCCTCAACAAACAGGTAGAGCAGCAGCAGGCAGTGGTGGCCAAGGGAGCAGGGGGCCATGGTGGCCAGACTGCCCGCCATGATCCCAGAAGGTAATTTCTGTAAAGCCTTTATTGCTGTATAATTTTTTAGTATAACAAAATCATTTTACCAATCACTGTTTCCACTCAAATTTATCATTAACCTCTTTTGTGCACACTCATTGCATAACTATTCTGAACTCCTTTACATTAAAAAAAAATCGTGGTCCACATTTACATAAGAAGCATCCCTCCACAAAAATCCTTGCATATGGGCTTGAGGTCAGACTAGATGTTCACAATGGGCCTTTCGGGAATCTATGACTCTGTGTTGTCATTCCTCTCAGGCAACAGCCTGAGGAAATGACCTCGCTCTACGTGCCTGGGAGGAAATAACAATTCGGATTATCACGGGAGTACATTTGTTACTGACAGATATGCAACATCCTGTACATTAAACATGTGGATACAGAAATCGATTTGCGTGGGGCAAAAGAAGACGCAATGAATTAAAAAAAATCTTTCAGGAAATTAAAAATGTTGAGCCTGAGCTGTGCTGATTTGCCCCAGCTGAGAACCTAGCATAGGATCCTGATCCGCACCACAGCCAGGGGCCCGTGGAAGCCACTTATTAAAACAGATCCACCGAAGAGTCTAGAAATTGAAGGGCAGCTTGTATGATTCCCTTCGCTGAGTGGGGGGTCACTGCTCCTCCAGCCCCTGCTGATTCAGCCCTGCTGTTCCCAGGGCTCACTTTGTTGTTCCCAGGGCTCACTCTTCTGCGGTTGGCCAGGAGTGTGAAACACACCTGGCCACGTGTGGGACAGGCAGCTGACCACATGCTAGCCACGTGTGGGACATGCAGCTGACCACATGCTGGCCACGTGTGGGACATGCAGCTGGCCACGCTGGCTCTTTGCTGGGGAGTGACTCCTGGTTCCCAGCCCAGCGCTTCAGCACAGGGATCAGGGACCCTCCCACCAGCAAGGTGGCTTTCCTAGCGCTGAGCACTCCCACTGCGGGCACCACCCCTTGATTGACAGAAGCCCAGCGACGGGCGCTCCAGCCTCGCAGGCCTCTTTCTCCCTAGCCAGGGACTCACTGGCCATAGAGAGGAGACCTCCGCCTGTCTAGCAAGGACAGTTTATCTTCCCATCATCGCCAGCATCTCTATGGTTTCATTTCCGGGTGCGGTGGTGGAGGGGAGGAGAAGGAAGAAGGTACGGTGGCTGCGAGGGCTCGCGCCCTGCTGAAGGCGAGCGGTGGCGGTGGCGGGCCTCGGCATGGCGGCGCACCTGAAGAAGCGGGTGTATGAGGAGTTCACTAAGGTCGTCCAGGTAATCCGCGAAGCACGTGAGGGCGGCTTGGGGAAGCCTCACCCCCGCCCCCGGGAGAGGGGCTCGGCCCCTGCCCGGGAAGGCGACTCCTGGGCGGCCTGACGTTTCAGGAAAACCCGCTGGAAGCCTGAGGCCTGGCACTGAAATGCCTCGGGACCCGCAGGGGGGGGGCCCCC